CCTGCCATTTCCTCTCCCTCCATGCCATACATACTGAACACTTGCTTGCAATGACCACTCAGAATTCTTGATCAAGATTTTCAACAACGATCTCTTCAAAATTTTGGAAATCAGGATATTCAAGATATGCTGTTTGCATAAGTAGGAGACAAATATTTAAAACCAATTTTTTTTTAAATCAGCCATTTCTGATGAGAGTCCCTGCTTGACCTCAAAGTCTCTGCACCTTAGTTTTTCATTTCTTGGACTCTGAGCCATGCTCCTTAGGTTTCTGGAATACGAACGCCCCCAGCAACATGCAGCCCTTGTCCGTGAAGGCAGCAGGAGGTTCTGCGGCATTGAAAGAGATGCTGGTAATGGCCTCTCCTTAGACTGGAGAACTTTGTAGTGGAGGGGAGTATCTGTATTTGCTGCCTGGGGGCCCCCAGGGTTTGCCAGCAGAACTTTCTCTGCATTGCCACCCTCTACAGAGCCCTGGACAAGGTGGCCCTGTGGGGCCAACCCAAGGGTTGAGGGTGAGCCAAGACACAACTGGTTAAAAATCCAGTGTTAGCTGCAAATTTGATAAGCATTTTTTTTAAAAAGGATTTCTTTATTTATTTTAAAGATAGAGAGCACAAGCGGGGTGTTGGGGGGTAGCAGAGGGAGAGGGACAAGCAGACTCCACACTGAGAGTAGAGCCCGACACGGGGCTCAATCCCACAACCCTGAGATCATGACCTGAAAGTCAGATGCTTAACCAACTGTGCCACGCAAGTGCCCTGATAAATCATACTCTTAATCCTTTCCCTCAGGACATCCACTAATGCTATTGACTCTTCAGTTATTGGTGGAGTGATCTTTATATGTCCATGAGGCCAGGATTTATCAGTTGTGTCATTCAAGTCTTGAATGATCTTTATAGTTGTTGCTGCTGTTGTTTTCTCTGTTTGTTCTATACATTACTAAAAGGAACATACTCAAATCTCTCCATACATTGGGGTTTTTTCTATTTCTCCTCTGCCAATTTTGCTTTGTGTATTTTGAGGTCTTATTATTGGGTGTATTCCCATTTAGAATATTTAGAAATGTTACATCTTCCTTTTTTTTTTTTAAAGTGTGGAGACCAATGTGGGGCCAGAATTCATAACCCTGAGAGCAAGACCTGAGCTGAAATCGAGTTAGACACTCAACCAACTGAGCTACCCAGGTAACCCTGTGTTACATCTTCCTACTGTGTTGGATTTTTTATCAATTTGAAGTGAAATTCTTCTTTCTTTTTTAAGATTTTATTTATTTATTTGAGAGAGAGAGCACAAGTGGGGTCAAAGGGCAGAGGGAGAAGGAGAAGCAGACTCCCCACTGAGCCGGGAGCCCGATGCAGGGCTCGACCCCAGGACTCTGAGATCATGACCTGAGCTGATGGCAGATGCTTAACTGACTGAGCCACCCAGGTGCCCACGAAATGACACTCTTTATCCCTCGTGTAATTTTTTAAAAACCAACTTTATTGGGGCACCTGGGTGGCTCAGTCATTGGGCATCTGCCTTCGGCTTGGGTCATGATCCCAGGGTCCTGGGATTGAGCCCCACATCTGGCTCTCTGCTCGGCGGGAAGCCTGCTTCTCCCTCTCCCACTCTCCCTGCTTGTGTTCCCTCTCTCACTATCTCTGTCTCTGTCAAATAAATAAATAAAATCTTTAAAAAACCACAACTTTATTGGGGTATAATTTACATGCAACAAAATGCGTACATTTTAAGTGTTCAGTTCTACTTACACACATGATGTAACTAACATCACAATCCTTTAATTTTTGCCTTTCTTTACAGCAGAACATTTGTTTTGTTTTGTTTTTCAGTTAAATGTATTGAGGCATAGTTTAATTCAGTAAAATTCACATTTTCATGAGTTGTCACAAATGTATACAGTCGTTCAACCATCACTACAATCAAGATATAAAATATCCACATCACCCCCCAAAATTCCCTTATACTCCTTTGTAGTCAATCTAGAGTTGCCAGATTTAGCAAATTTAGCTGGGCAACCTGTACTTTATTTGGCAAATCTAAGCCAATTCCTGTTCCCTCTCCCATCCCCTGGGGACTACTGATTTCTGTTTCTATACTTTTGTCTTTTCATGAATGTCATATAAATGGAATCATACTGTATGTAGTTGTCGGTTTGTAACCTCTTTGGGAGCTTCCCGTGTATAATCTGAAACTGGCCCCAAAATGCAGAGGGCAGGAAGAGACCAAAGAAAGAGAAAGGCCACTCCAGGTTGGTAGGTGGCAGTTTGAGTAAGTGAAGGGAACTTACATATGAGGTTTGTCTTGAGTGGCATCAGTGTGAGTGAATCCCTGCACCAGCTGCCGAATCTTGGAAGTTTATAGAGAGAGAGGCCTTAACAAGGTTCAGTCCCATACACCGCACAGGTGTTCTCAACACCACGTCAACCATCTCAAGCCTACATCCTTGGAACAGCCTCTGGGAGCGGGAAAGCCAACCAGAACCCACATTCCAAGGACGGGAGAGAGGCTGAGTAGCCTCTGAGTGCCCGTGTCCAGCTCACAGATCAACCGGAGGTCATGTCCTCTCAGTGACCTTCCTTAACTGTAGTTTCCTCTGTCTGGTTTCTCTTAGCATAATGCTTTTGAGATTCTTCAGTGTTGGTGACTGTTATCAGTGATTCTGCTTTCCATGGCTGAGTAGTAGTAGTCCATTGTATAGATGTACCGAAATTTTATATCCTCTCACCCACTGATCGTCATTTGAGTGTTTCCAGTTTTCGGCAATTGTGAATAAAGTTGCTGTAGACATTTTCATGCAGGTCTTTGTGGGTCCATATGCTTTCACTTCCTTTGGGTAAATACCTAGGAGATTGCCAAACTTAATATTTCTGAGCACTATAAGTGACAGGTCAGGAACAGCAGCCCAATAATGCATACAGAATTATATTTCTATCCTCATCATTATCCATCTTTATTCTACGAAGTCTCATAATTTTCATGTCCTTAATTTTCTGTTTACAGAGTAAAAAGGAACCTTCGATTAATAATGACAATGAAGGGTTGAGCATGAAGGGAAATACTGCCCTTGTTTTTTTCCCTAGGAGTGATGGTTCAGAATTCACTAAGTCGGTCTTCATGGAGACCTTGCTGAACAGAACTACCATGAGTAAAGATAAAACTGAGGCACAGAAAGCCTAAGCCTCTCACTCACTCTCACTCAGCCGAAAAGTGGAGCTGGGGTTTGAAGCCAGGCAGGGTTACTCCAGAGCTCTTTGCATGTGAAATCTAGTATGGACCATATTCAAATAATAATGTAGTTCAATGACTAAGAGCACTGGGCTCTGCTGTATTTGCATAGAAAGCCCTGAGATGATCTGTACCCTGAGACAAAAGCTTTCTCTTAACCTACTGCATCCGCAGCCACCTACAACAGCACACTAGCCCTGCTCCACTCTTCATGATACCCTGCAGAAGCAGCCAGGCAGTTCCCAAAGCTGTGCTCAACACTAGCTTCCAGATGACCCCAACCCATTGAAAAGGTGCAAGGTTCCTCTACAAGAGAATGAGCTTTCCTGTATTCTGGACCATCTTGGAAACATAGTTGCATTGCTATCTGAAAACCATTTTCTAGTAACACCTTAGGCTGGGGGCTCACAAATATTTTCTGTAAAGGACCAGGCAGTAAATATTTCAGGTGTTGTGAGTCATACAGTTTTTGCTGCAATTATTCAACTCTGCCCTTGCAGGGCAAAAGCCTAGACAATATATAAAGGGTATAAACGTACCCCAATAAAACTTTATTTACAAAAGCAGACAGAGGGCCAGCAGACCCCTGCCCTAGACTATGAGCTCTTAGAGAAGGAGGCTTGTGTCTTTATCTTTGTAATTTCAGCCCCAGCAGTAAAGATTGTCCTGATTTTACCAAAGAGGAAAACAGTCACAGACGTTGATTTTTGAGGAAGACAGGCATAGAACTACAACCGGCTATTTGGGTGTATTTTCTCCTGAACATAGATACTGCACTTCTCATGTTAGATCCGAGCGAGTTGGGAAAATCAAAGCAAACACAAAGCAAGAGGATCTTGTCTGCACAAACCCTCCCAACTGGCCTGGGTCTCCGCAAACTTGTTTTTGCAGGCTAAGTTCTACACGACCTGAAACTATGAGGTTGAACTGGAGATGGCAGCTCTAAACTGCATTTCAGGAGCTCCCGGAGCTCAGAGCAGGGAGGTGATCTCGTCTTTGCACACCGTCTGGTTCAGTTTCTTAGTCCAGGACCTCAAGACAGGTTACACAACAGACCGAAAATAAAGCCTTTTGTTTATTCCCACGAGATCATCCTTCACAGACGGGCTTTCTTTGGACCTGGGGGTCCTGAGAGGGTTTTACACAGAGTGGGATTCAGTCACACAACCAGTCATTTGCAAAGCCTACTTCTAAGTCAAGTCCTATACACTTTCCTTGACGCCCTATTTGGCCCCATTGTCATCCCGCGTCTTGCAATTACTAAACATTGAGTCTCAGCTTCTGCATCTGTAAAACAGGCACAGAGCCCCTAGAGCGCTGTCGCAGAATTAAATCAACGAACTTGGCGGGTAAACCACGGAACCCAGCGCGGGGCTCGGCACGTGGTAAGCGCTCAAAGCACCGTGGCCCCCACCCCCACGATTCCTTACTAACTGGACCCCCGGGGCTGGACCGTGTGAGGGAGGAGCGCAGGAGTGCGGGCCACCCCCAGGGCTCGGGCCCTGCGCGCCGTCGGGCCCCAGAGCCCAGCAGCCGAGGCGCAGCGGCACCACTTCCGCCGGACACCCGTCCGAAATAGCCGCTTCTGGCCGCTTCCGGCCACGAGCGCGACGGAGCCCGAGCCCGAGCCGCCCCGTACTGGGCGGAGCCTGAGGGGCAGCCACGCCCCCCGCTTCCGGCTCCCTGCCGGCTGCGCCTGGCACCGCCGGGCTGCTCCGTGCTCCGGCCGGAGCTGCCCCGCCCTCCGGGCCCGCCTCTGGTGACGTCAGTTCCGGGGCGGCCTGGGCGGGGCCTGAGCTGGGGCGGCTGCCTCGAGCAGTCTCGGTGCGGGTGCGCTGCTCCGCTGCCGGCCACGTCTCCACGCCGGGCCGCGGGCGCTTCCCCGCCGTCCGACGGCCGCCCGGCCGCCGCAGGCCTGCCGCGCGCGGGTAAGGGGCCCGCGCCGCCGTCCGGGGAGCTGTTGTCACGGCTCCCTGAACCGGCTTGCGACCGAAAGAGGGAGGTGGGGGCAGGAGGAGGCTTGAATGGGGGCATGAGAGGCAGGAGGGGGACCGAGAAAAGATCAGTCGGGACGCAGGTGCAAGACGAGGAGGACAGGAGAGAGGGAGGGACGGATGGGGGACCGAGAGGCTGGAGGGAGGGGGAGGGCTTCGGGGGATCCCAAACCGAGGAAGAGGCCCGGCTTGTTTGAGTTTGGGAGCGGAGGGTGGGAGAGTCGGGACACTCCCATATGCGCGGGGAACTGAAAGGTTTTCCCGGGGCAAGGCTGGGCCCCAGAAGTGCTGCCCTCCAAGAAAGAGTTGGCCTCTTGGGTGACCCAGGCCTTCCCCCCAGGCCCTCCATCTGGGAGGGGTTGTGCCTTTCCATCTGCCTGCCTCCCTCCCGGGTGTGAGAGCCCCGTGGCTGCTTACTGTGTGCAGTCAGCGATCGGGCTGACGGGAGGAATCAGCACCCACATGGTTTGCCATAAGACATAAACATCATGCTTAGAAATCTGCCTATACCGACGTGCAGTTATTTTTACCCCCTAGAGGAAGCGTCTCTAAAAATTGCAATGAAATCGGCGAGGAAAGTATTTAAAATACGAATTTTCCACCTATATGCTGGACTTGCTTCATGGACAAGGGAATGCCAGATTTACACACCACATTGCCAGCAAAAACTAGCCTTTGATCAGCATTTAGCTGTGATATCAAAACTTACAGAAACTTGGAAGCAAACAGTGTAATTAAAACGATATCCATTTCAGGTTCCCATCTGCCAGGAAGGCACGTCCTTTAGACCACAGGGCAAGGTCTATATACGCAAAACCACAAACCTGTGTTCCTTGGGTTCTGCTGCCAAAGTTCAGCCAGATGATGTGTTGGGATTAGGTATCTGTGGTTTACCCTGTATTTGTTTCTGCATTTCCTGCTCCTTGGTTTATAAAGCTTCTCCAGCTCGGAGTAGGGCCCGAGGCCATGTTGCTGCTGATTTAAATCTTACTAGAGTGATGGAATGTGGGGGTAACACTTACAATCCCTCACCAAGCCTAAGGATTATTTGTATTAGATTTTAGGAACCTGTCTAGGCCAGGAAAAGGAATCCAGCAATTTGGAGTCTGATTCCATGTAACCTGCACACAGGACTCAGCATATAACCAACAGGTTCCTAAAAGAGTTTTTGAAAAAAATCAAGCCAAGGGACAACTGGGTGGCTCAGTCAGTTAAGCGTCTGCCTTCAGCTCAGGTCGTGATCTCAGGGTCCTGGGATTGAGCCCCATGTCGGGCTCCCTGCTCAGTGGAGAGCCTGCTTCTCCATGTCCCTCTGCAGCTCCTCCTGCTTGTGCTCTCTCTCTCTCTCAAATAAATAAATGAAATCTTTTAAAGAAAAAATCAAGCCAAGGTTGGAAACATAAGAATTCAGAGACAGGAGGTATTAGAAGGCATCACGAGATCATGAACCAGAAAAGGATCAGGAAGTTGACACCTAGGGCCACAGTCTGGGGGTGCCTTTCTGATGAAGGGTCACCTGGGTCCAGGGGTGCTGCCCCTTCCCAGCTGAACTTGTGGGGAGCTGACCCTGAAAAAGAGGGACTCCCAGCACCAGCCTCACTCCTGTCTTTCCATCTGCGGGTCTTCCACTTAATAACTTAATTCTTTCCTGTTTATTCCCTTCTTGCCCCAGGGGGCTCTTTCCTTTCCACCTATTGTAGTCTGAGGCCTCAGTCTACCTAGTCTCCCTGCACCCTAATAATGAGAATAACTGGCCGGCCCCGCGCTTAAGGCTCCCTAAAGCCTTTGCAAGACAAAGTATTTTAAATCTTGTTAAGGGTTTGTCCATTGTGAGTCAACTTACAAAGATTAGTGCAGGTCCTCACACGTGGATCTTGACATTTAGAATATGCTTTTGGGAAGTGGAGGCAGGCCCATTCCAGAGAGGTGGGGTCATGGCCCAGCAAGGGGAGGGCCCGGTCTGGGCTCTACAGTGGCCACTTTCCATCTCTGGGGGTGATCACTGGCCCCACCGGCTGGGAGTGAATAAGCAGTGACGGTGTCCAGTAGAAGTTTCCTGAGAAACTTGGGGAGTTTCTTGACATAGTCTTAGAAAAATGCTCCATCTATGCGCTCACCTTTGTGTTGCACACATGCATGTATCCATATGTGGCAGCGTGTGGGCATGTGTGTGCATGTGTCGTTGGCTGTGCGTGCACCTGTGGGCCCGTGGCACTCGTCACGCATCACCACCTCCTAATATCTGGCCCTATGGGGAGTGAGAGCTATTTCATGATCTCCCGAGTTTACATTAAATATTCATCAATGAGAGAATCACATTTGTGCCAGTTACTATCTTTGCATTACAACTGTCCTCCTGGTTCCTCTAAAGTTTTGGTTGGCTCCTAGAAAAATGCAATTCCTGATATGTAAATTATGGAGTTTCTGTAAATTATTAAAATCTACACGTGAAACTCTATCCAGTGGGGTTACTCTGTGCCTTTCTGCCCCGGAGCTCAAAATACTTGAAGGAAATCGGACATTGGTTTCTTTCATGAGCCTTTCAGAAATGTTTTCCAAAAGCGATACATGCTTGTGCAAAAAAAAAAAAAAAAAAGATATGTGTGTGTATATATATATATACACGCACATATGTGTATATGTATGTATATGAAGTAGAAAATCACCAGTAAATTCATTCCCCAGGCATAACCATCATTAATGCTCTGGTGTAAATCTCTCCAGACCCCTTAACAAATGTCTATTTAAATAAAAAGAGAGTCACGGTGTGTATGCTGTTGTATGACCTGCTTTTTTCCATCTAATGATGCATGCGGCCCGTGTCAATAAATAGAAAGCTCTGTATTTTTTCAAGATTTTATTTTTAAGCAATCTCTGCACCCAATGCGGGGCTTGAACTCACAACCCGAGATCAAGAGGCACACAGTCCACCTGACGGAGCCAGCCAGTGTATTTCTGAACGGCTGCCGTGGTATTTATATGTGGTTGGGACCGTATCTTCTATAACCGTTCCACTTGTTTTGCTGTTATAAATAACGCCGCGATGAACACCTTTTTAGACCTTCATCTTTAAACATCCATCCACTTGCTTCCTTTGAAGAAATTCCAGCAGTAGAAAGTGCTACCTCGTAAGTCTTGACATTGAAAGTTCTAATACTCCTTCCCAGCACGATGATCTGTTCAAGGCTGCTGTTTCAGTGCCTCCCCGCGCCGCCCGGGTCTTTTCCCCCTATGCTTTTCCTAAGGAATATTTACTCTTTTTTCAAACCGTAGATGCGTCTGTTGCCAGAGCGGGGCATCTGCCCGTGTCCCACGTGTGCCGCAGAGCATGCCATGGCCAGCAAGTGCTCCTCGAAGCTGCTCTCGCCTCCTGCAAAGCCAGACCTCAGCCAGCAAGCACACGGAGCCAAGCCCGCCGCTCTCCAGCAAGGACAACGGCCCAGCTCGAGAGCACGCCCTGAGCAACTGTGTCTGGTGAGTGTCCGTGGCCCTGCAGGCAGGGCCACCTGCTTGGCGTCAGGACAGTGAGCCCAGAGAGGGCCCCGAGGGCCAGAGGGCCCAAGCTTTGCCGCAACCAGGAGGGCCCTGTTCTGTGGCGCTTCACCGTCAGAGGTCCTGCCCTCCCAGGTAGCCCGGGAGGGTGGGGCCACGAGCAGGGATGGACAGCAGGGGCTGGGAGCATGTGGTCCTCTGTGGCCCTTTTCTGTTCTTCTGGGTACCCAAACACTGGGTACCGCAAGAGGTTTTCTCTTGGCCTGATGTTGAAATATCGCAATGCTTACCCCCTACTGATGCTGGGGGTGAAGGAGGAGCCGCCTGGCAGCAGCATTCCCAGGAAGAGACAGACTAGAGGCTGTCCCCAGACCACTAACGAGACAGTCCAGTCCGTGTCTGTTCCGCATGAGGAACTGAAAGAGAAGGAGGAAATCCACTGGGCACAGTGAATCAGTTCCTCCGTCCCTTAGCTGAATTATCCGCTCTGAAGTTCATTCCAGTGCTAGAGCAGGGTTGGCAAACTAGGGCCCATGGGCCAAGTCCCACCTCCTGTCTGTTTTTGTAAATAAAGTTTTATTGGGACACAGCCACACCCGTCATTTACAAATGGCCCACCTTTTGCACTGCAGCAGCTGACTTAAGTAGCTGAGACAGAGATGGTGTGGCCCACAAAATCTAAAACATTTGCTGTCTAGCTCTTTACAGAAGAAGTTTGCTGACCCTGCCCTAGAGATTTGTGGTGAGGCGGGCAGCAGAAGGCCTAAGGCCTGTGGTACATGCAAGAAGCCCTGGTCACGTCATCCCACCCAGCAGACCCCAGGTCCGTGTAGGGAGCACGTTGGGCTCAGCAGTGGTAGCATTTTAAATGCATTCTGTAGATGTGACTGGCCAAAGAATGAGCCATTTAAATACATTTATTTACTGAGAGCCCAACTGCATTGCCTCAGCTCGTGGGGTGTGTGGGTTCTTTGTTCCTGAAACCTTCCAGTTTCAGTTCTTTCTTCTTATGGTATTGGTTTGTTTCTTCTCTCCCCACCCTGCCCCCACTTGTTTCTGTCAGAACAAAGAATGACTTTTACAGTCCAGAAAACAGATGCAGGGGCTCCTGGGTGGCTCAGTGGGTTGGGTGTCTGCCTTCGGCTCAGGTCATGATCCCGGGGTCCTAGGATCGGGCCCCATGTGGGGCTCCCTGCTCAGTGGGGAGCCTGCTTCTCCCTCTTCCTCCGCCCCTCCTCCTGCTTGTGCTCTCTGGCTCTCTCTCTCTGTCGAATAAATAAATAAAATCTTAAAAAAAAAAAAAAAAAGAAGAGAAAAGAAAGAAAACAGATGCAGATCGGTAGCTTCTGAGCTGAGTCCTCTAGACCTCTAAGCTCCCAGGAGCCCTTACGGACAGTTTTGGATGGAAGGTGTAACTTGAAACTAAAATAAAGCTAGGGACTCTTGCAAAGGGGTGAGAAGCATCAAGGAATGCACCAGACTTCCAGAAGGGTTTGTGTTTGTGGGGCTTTCCAGTCATGGGGCCACTTTCCCACAGTCCCCTCTGATCACAGGAGATGGAAAACCACCGTGTGGCCACTCTCTACATGTCCCTTTCTGCCGTGCAGGGGCTGCTTGGCGGAGCTCCCAGCAGGGCTGGATGTGCTTGTTGGGGCAGACTGGTGGCTAAGCCTGGTACTGGGTTGGAACCTGCAGGAATTCCACGTGCCCAGTGGGGCTGGGCCCATCGGGCAGAGGTAGCAGGGCCAGATTTTGAAGGCCATGTTGGCCATGTTAATGAGTTTGGAGGTTATCCTGGGATAGTGGGGTCTGAGCAGTGGAGGCTGGGTCACCTTTGTGGGTTCCAAGGATCTTTCTGGAAGCTGTGGAATGACATGTGGATCAGGGCTGGGATGGAGTTGTGTGAAAGTGATTGATTTGTGACTCAGGGCTCATGGAAAGACAGTGAGCCTGCCCCAGTCACCAGGAGCCTGCCTAGTTGCAGGGCCAGGGAGGGTAGTGGGTAGCTTCCATGTCAGGTAAGGAGCCGGTCAGGACGTTTTCACTTAGCATGACTCGAGTGCTGTCTTCCATGACGTTCTGTGCAACTAAAGAACTTCATGGTAAGGGCCAGTGGAAAGACCAAAGGCCTTGGGTGTCTTCAGGCAGGACTGATTTCGGAGGTGCCCTTAGGAGCCCCAGGCTCATTGCCTGCCCTCCACTCCCAGCAGGCCTGTGTTCTGTGTGCCCTGTGCCCGGATCAGCTGTTTAGTCATGGGACCAGTCATGACTGCATGGGACTGTGTCGTTGTCTGGAGAGGACCTGGGCCCTGTAGGTAGCCATGCGGGACTCAGGACAGGATCAGGGCACACCCAGGACCAGCAGGGCATGAAGGGATGGGATGCTTGAGGCCAGTGGGCCCCTCTGCTCCCCAGTGTACCCCTGCAGCGAGGGACCCCAGCCTGCCAGCACACTGGAGGGCCCCAGGGTGAGGGAGGGGAGAACCCTGTGCACTCAGGAAGCCAGCTCTGGCTGCGCCCAGTCCTCCTCTTGGTGAGGCTCAGCTGTTGTGGCATTTCTGGAAGTTTCTGCAGACAGCTGGGTGACCAGGTCCTCACAACTACCTCTGTCTCTCACAGTGGCACCCCCTGGTCCAGTCCGTCGGCCTCCTGTGACCTTGTCTCCTCCTGCCTGCATTGCCACCCCTGCCGCCTCCTTGCTGGGCTCCTCTCATGCCTGCCCCTCCTCTGTCCCTGCTGCCCAAGCACCTTCCTGCCTCAGCTCCCCCGCCAATCTCTGGTCTAATCCCAGGTCACAGCACACTGACCCTCAGCCTCTGGCCCTGCTGCTGTCATTTGCTGTGCCCTCCCACCCGCCTCCCCCACCCCTTCCCAGGTGGATTTCATCCATCTTTCAGAACATGGCCCACCTGTTGCTTTCCCAGGAAGCCTTCCCTGGCCACACCCCTCGACCCACCAGAATTCAGTGCCTCCTCTGAGCCCCACAGCACCCTGTGCTCCCCCACCCACCTTTGGGGCCTCCACACAGAGGACCAGCCTCCAACTTACACATCAAGGCCTTCCCATGTGTCATCCCTGCCTGCTTCCAGGCACTGAGTCACACCTCTGCTCCATGCTTGCAACAGCTTGCAGTGACCTCTTTTCTGTGTCTCCTACTGGATGGCAGGCTCCCTGGAGGAAAGAGTTGTGTGGCTTTTATCTTTTTGTTCTACATGTACTGCCCGGCACATGAGCAGGCACTCAGGGAATATTGGATGGATGGATGGATGGATGGATGGGTGGATGATGGGTGGATGGGTGGGTGATTGATGGATGTGTGGGTGGGTGATTGATGGATGGGTAGGTGGATGGATGGATGCGTGGGTGATTGATGGATGGATGGGTGGGTGATGGATGGATGGATGGGTGGATGATGGATGGATGGTTGGATGATGGGTGATTGGATGGGTGATGGATGGATGGGTGGATGATGGATGGGTGGATGGATGGGTGATAGATGGATGGATGGATGATGGGTGGATGGATGGGTGATGGATGGATGGGTGGGTGGGTGGATGGATGGATAGGTGGGTGATTGATGGACGGATGGGTGGGTGATTGATGGATGGGTGAGTGGATGGATGGATGCGTGGGTGATTGATGGATGGATGGATGGGTGGATGATGGATGGATGGATGGGTGGATGATGGATGGATGGGTGGATGATGGGTGGATGGATGGGTGATGGATGGATGGGTGGATGATGGATGGGTGATAGATGGATGGATGGATGATGGGTGGATGGATGGGTGATGGATGGGTGATGGATGGATGGGTGGGTGGGTGGATGGATGGATAGGTGGGTGATTGATGGACGGATGGGTGGGTGATTGATGGATGGGTGGGTGGATGGATGGATGGGTGGGTGATGGATGGATGGGTAAGTGGATGGATGGATGGGTGGGTGATGGATGGATGGGTGGGTGGATGGATGGATGGGTGGGTGATGGATGGATGGGTGGGTGGGTGGGTGATGGATGGGTGGATGACAAATGGATGATGGATGGATGGATGGGTTGGTGATGGATGGATGGGTGGGTGGATGGATGGATGGGTGGATGATGGATAGATAGATGGGTAGTGGATGGATGGATGGATGGATGGATGTTGGATGGGTGGGTGGATAATAGATAGGTGAATGGATGACACATGATGGATGGATAGATGAATGGGAGATAGCTGGCTGGCTAGCTAAAGGATATCTCCCATGTGAAAGGTGTGGTCAGCTGTTGTGGAGTGTACAGAAGTACATTGGGCCTGATATGTGACCTTGGCCGATCTTGGTTATCAAGAGACCTTGGCCCTGGGAGCATGGATCAGATCTTGGCCCTTTCTCTACTGCTCTTTCACATTAGGAACTCTGGGTAGGAAAGTGGGCACTTACAAAGGTTGAGACACATAGTGAAAGTGGGTCAAGGAGTCCTTTAAACCCATCAAATGCAGGCATGGGACAGATCACTAGATCACCGTGGTTGAGACGCATCACACTGTTCCTGGGTGCCAGGCTCTGGTCAAAGCGCTCAGCTCGATTTGCACCCTGGACCTTCCAGAACCCTCCACAGTAGGCACCGTGCCATGCCCCATGTCCCAGGTGAGGCTGTGCATTACTGACCAGACACCTTTCTTGACCACAGATCCTTCAGCCAAGCAGCAGGGAATCATTAGCAGCCTGAGGAGTGGCCAGCTGGGAGCCTCAGGGACCGCCCAGCCTTGCTCCTGGCTCACCCACAAGATGTGGACAGCCCTTGTGCTCGTTTGGATTTCCTCCTTGTCCTTATCTGAGAGCCTGGTGCCAATCAAGGATCCACGTAAGTGAGAAAGCTCTGTGACTCCTGGTCAGGCCGACAGTGATCTCAAAGCACCCTGAGGCCAAGGGACGCGTGCAGGCCTAGGCCAGCGAGTCGGGGGCCCCAGAGCCGCCCGGGTGCTGCGCTGGGGATGGTTGTCAGGCCAGACTTTTCCACGGCCAGCTTGGGTAGAAAGCCCCCGAGGGACTGGGCCTCTGACTCCTGAGAGGGTCATTCACTTGGCCCTGCAAAATTTCTTCTATAAACCTGATCTTCACTGGCGAATTCATCTGTTCACACATCAGATATTTCGTTACACTCTTGCTCCATGCCAAGCACTGCTCATCTCCAGGAATTCCTGCCACAAACCCTTGCAGAAAGCCAAGAATTGTTTTATGGTGTGAATACCTGGGCAATGATTTATCTGGTTTCTAAAGCCGGGTGCATGTTTGATGGGTTTTGTTAATGGTGAATCCCACCTCTAAGGTGAGACTTTCACTCTGTCTGAGGTTGTGGGAATTGGATCAAAGAGTGAAGCTCTTGAGACTTCAATGGGTTCAGGGTTCAGAAAACGAGGGAGTTTTTACATCAAAGTGCCAAGTGCCCCTCCGAGGGGTAGCAGGCTCCGTGTGCTCAGGGGGAAGATAAGAGGGAAAGGTGTTCACCTATCACCTCCTTTGTTCTCACTGGGCTGCGGGGAAAGGCCACCCAGGCCAGGCCAATGGGCCAGAAATTAAGACACTCTCTCAATCATCTACCTGCACAGGAAGTGATGGTATCTTTTTCTCCCTTTTCTGACTTCAAGGGCACTCAGTCCTCAACAAGACAGATAATCCGGACGAGAAAGATGCATCTGTGATGACAGTTACGAGAGTCCTTCATGGAACGTCTGAAACAATGACCACAGTGACACCTTCTCCTGTCCCATTGGCCACAGCGAGCCCGGCGGCCAACGCCAGCTCTCCTTCGGTCACAGCAGGGAGAACTCTCAGGACAGACGACGCAGGGACGGAAGGTGCCCCTGACCCAGTCGCCTCCAGGGCACCCCTGCCACCTGCTTCGGCGGCGGCGGGGCGGACCCCGTCCTCCGCCACCGTCAGCGTCCCTCGCGTGCAGGTGCTGAGCGGCAGCCTGCTGCCGGGCACAGCCGCCCTGACGACACTGGCCACCAGCGCTCAGCCTGCCGCTGGGACCACAGCGGGTGCCCGCAGCCCTTCCCAGCATGCCCCCGGCAACCCCACAGCCAGCCCCACACCCCCGTCGGGTCCACAAGCACCTAACGTGTCCACGCAAGCCCCCGCCGTCCAGGCATCAGCGGCCCAGCCCGCGGCTGGCACGGCAAGTGGGCCCATGCCCACCCTCTCCAACAGCACCTCAGAGCCCACCCGCCCACCTGTGGCTTCCACGGCTCCCGCGGCCACCATAGCGGTGACCGGCACCACGGCCCCGGCCCGGGAGCCGACTACCAGCACAGTGTCAGCGCCTGTGCCCCACAGCAGCCCGACCCCCAAGGGGGAGGCCACGTCCCCCACGACCCGGCCGAGCCCTGCTCCATCGACCCGGGGGACCGCGGGGCCCGGCACAGCCTGGCCCCCCGAGCAGGTGCTGCCTGGAACCTCTCCTGGTGCCGCGTCCACTACCCCAGCGCCTGGGAGTCCCGGGGGCTCGAAGATGCCACCCACAGCCTTGTGCCCGCTCAGCAGCCAAGGCCAGTACCTGGTGGTCACTGCCAAGCCCCTCAGCCCGTCTCTGGTGAACAGAGGTTTCCTCCTGGCAGTGCTCTTGCTCGGGGTGACTCTTTTCATCATAGTGTTGGTTCTGTTAGCCCTGCAAGCCTACGAGAGTTACAGGAAGAAAGAGTACACACAGGTGGACTATCTCATCAATGGGATGTACGCAGACTCAGAACTGTGACGGGCCGAGGAGGCCGAGCCCACTCCTCCTCCCATTTTGCCTCTGAGACCAAACCAAGTGCTTCCAGATCCTTTTGGTGCAATTAGGAGGTGTGCCGGACGCTTCAACACATTTACTTGCTGTCAGATTAATTCCTCGATCACTCAAGAGTTGCTGCTTTTTCATATTTATTTTTGTAAACAATCATGTCCATGGAGTGGGCAGTGATCCCACTACAGCGGGGCTGGCAGGGCCCCGGTGTGGATCCCGACCCAAATTAAAGCAATGACCGCCTTCCATTCAGACCCGTGTCCCCCCATGAGTGTAGGCCGTGTCCTGTCCACCATCCCACCAGGGGCCGCTTCCTGGGACGCGCGAGGTGGGCTTCATGTTCGTCAGCATTTACTGTAACACCAGGTTCTGGGGTCTTCTGTGTCCGCCCCACTTTCTGGGGCCTCACTGTTACACCCGAACGTGCCCCGTGCTCGGTGCGGGGGAGGGCACCCCAGGCTCTGGGCATCCCTGACACCCCCTGGAGACGGGGCCTTCCTGCAGATGTCCCTTTTCTGAATTGTGTGGTGGTGCAAGCTTAGAACCTGATGTAGGCACGAGAGAGCTGAGTCCAACACGTTAACCAGGTGAGCTGCCCGGTGTGGCCGGGTCAGCCTGGACCTGCTCGGACTGACTTCTCAGTGAATCCGCACAGCTCATGCCTCGTGGAAACCCAATCAGCCAGTGTGGCAGGACCGTCCCTAACCCTTGCCCCATGTCACCCTGGAACCCGGGGGAGCCCCAGGCCTAAGTGCACCCAGGGCTCTGTCTCCCGAGCAGGATGACGTCCCCGGGTTCCCAGGTTCCAGCCCTCAGAGCTGACACGAAGTGCCCGTCCTGCGCCAGCCGCTGTCCTTGTGCTTAATGCACGAACCCACTTAACCCCCACCTCGGCCCCAACACAGCAGCACTAGACCCCACCTTAAAGGTGGGGCCACTGAGGCACAGGAGGGGGAGACGTGCTCTGGAGTATAGGGGGAGCGAGGCCTTCGCTCTGCCTACCTGCCCGAGGCAGTGAGAGCTGGTGGGCAACGCGGAAAGCTGTGTTCCCAGACCAAGTGTACTTGGAGCGAGGGTGGCGTGTTCTGGAACTCTGCTTCTTCATCTGTGGAATGGGGAGACCTAGAATCACCCAGAAATCCCGTAGGAGCCAAGGATGGAGAAATAGAGTGGGGAGCAGGGCAATCAGAGCATCCCTGTGGTCCCCTGCCTTCCAGCTCTGCCCGGGTTTCTGCAGCCTGTCCTGTCCTGTCCATCTGTGGTCGGTCCAGCAGCCCCCTTTCCCCTCTGCGGCCTCTACCTGTCTCAGAGCCACGCCATGTGTCCTCTGACAGCTGGGCCTCAACCAGCCTGTGTCTCTTGTTTCTCCTTCCTGGGGGACGCCGCCACACACCTGAGCCCATCCGCGCGTGCGATCACGGGTATCGGCGCTGACTGTGGCTGGAAGGGCTTGTCCCAGCTCCCGGCCAGAGCGGCCGGCCACCCTGCGCCACTGTCCCCGGACAGCGGCTCTGCTCGTCAGCATAGAGGATCGGGGCTTTGGAGGATGCCCTTTCCTCTGCCGGCCGCCACCTGGCACCTGGGCCGGGACCTACCTGCCTGCGAAGGGCAGGTTTCACACCCTGGCTGGTTGAGTCTCGTGCGTGAGCCAGAGTTTGGAGGCGCTCCCCACAAACTGGGTGCTTTGTTCCCTTCCAGGGAGGTAGGAGGAGGGGCAACCCACAGGGATGGCTTTCGTCCTCAGCTTACGACGGGGGACCTCTGCCCGGCACCCCTACTTACAAGGAACAGGGGCTTGGCTGTCAGGGCCTCCCTGTCCCCCTGCCCCAGCCAGGGACTTCCTGTCCTTTCATCCCCCGAGAACTGGTTGCAGTCTCCATCCCTCCCTCCTTGGGGGGTAACATTCCCAACCATCTAGTCATTTTGGCTCCGCGGAGGGGTCACAAGTGCCTCAAACTCATGGCGTCCAAGACCAAGTTCAGCACTGGCCCGAGTGTGTTGGGCCCTTAGCGTTCTTCCTAAACCTAAGGCATTGCTGCTTACCTGAGCTAGAGACTGGGCTTCAGCCTGGGGTCACACCAACCACCCCACACACTCTTTTTTTTTTAAGATTTTAAAGTAATCTCCATATCCAACGTGGGGCTCAAACTCACAACCCCGAGACGAGGAGTCGCCTGCTCCGCTGACTGAGCCGGACAGGTGCCCCTTCCCCACATTCTCAGGAGCAGGCCCCCCCCGCCGCCAACTGCCAGCCCCAACCCAGCCATCTTCCACCCTATAGCCAGGGGCCCCTCAAAACACAAACATGACCACACCTTTCCCGGCTAATATTCCTTCCCAAGAGAAAGGCCAAGCTGCTCTGCCTGGGATTCCGGACCAAGGCAAACCCTGTTAGTGGGTCCCGGCCACGCAGAGCAGGAGGGAGAGAGCCAGGCTCTAGAAAACTCGCAGGAGGTGGAGACCATGGATGTCCAAATCTAGGGGGGCCATGGGTTTGAGTCCCCGGCTATCCCCCTGCCTTGGAGGCCACGAGACTGCAGTGAGCAGGCAGCCATTCCTGGCCTGCTCGAAAGACCCATTCAGCATTGGCTCATCAGGTATTTATTGAGCACCCACTGTTTGCCAACCAATTGGGGATTCAGAGATGAATCCAGCTGCCTTACCCACAGGAGCTCACACTGTGGTGGGGGAGATGTGAGGAACACAAGGAAGAAGGCAAGTGGTGGGAACACAGAGGAGGCACCTGACCCTCCTGGGAAGGTCAGGGAAGGCTGCCCAGCAAAGGGGGTTCAGAGTCTCTCTTCCTAGCGTTTTACTCCGGGGGCAGGGGCTTTGGCTGGTTCAGTGCCCAGAGCAGCAGCGTCCCCGTTTGAGAGTCTGAATGGAAGGCCAAGGCACAGGGAAAATCAGGTTCGAGGCTTGGCCCCCAAAGGGTCTCTCTTCCCTCCAGTGAAGAGACCAAGGTGTGGGAAGGCCAAGTGCCTTGCCCAAGACCACCCTCCACACAAGTGGCAAGACAGGATTTATGGACACAGGCAGCTGGGACACCCAAGGCACGGAGCCAGCCCATTTCCCCTGGGGGCAGCCCTGTGTCCCCAAGCCAGGGAAGTCCAAGGGCTCCCCCTGGCGGCCAAGCCTCCCTCCCTCACCCTGCATGCTGGTCCTGGTGGCACCCAGCACCCCAGCTCTGCTCCCCAGGGGAATCCCTCCAGCCTCGCTCCCCTGGAACCGGGAAGCCTTCCTGGTAACCCCACACTGAAGAACTCTCGCCCCTGCATACTCCTAGACCGGGCTCTCTTCCTGTGGGACACACTGTGTACCAGCCTTTGAGTGCTTTATAGCTATCATCTCATTTAATTATCTCAGACTACAGTCCTCCTGCTCCCCCACCCCCACCCACAACTCATCCTCCAAGGCAGCCAGAATGATGGTTTAAAAATACAACCTAGATCACGATTACCTCCCCCCCGCCCCCCTGCCTGGGTCCCTCCGTGGCTTCTCACTGCAGTAGGAAAAAAATCCAAATGTGGACTAACGATGCACATGGCCAGAGGGAAGCATTCATGAAAAATCTGGGAAATGGGAGATCCAGGCAGAGGAGGAAGGACCGCAAAGCCCCTGGACGGGGAGAAGTTGGTGAGTGTGGACAACAGAAGGGCAAGGGGAGAGTGGAAGAAACAGTGGGGCCAGGCCAGGAGGACACGGCCAGCCCAGCGAGGAGCAGGGAGGAGGTGGAGGCCCAGGAGGGTGCTCTGCAGAAGAATAATGTCATCTGATTTCGGGTTTACACATTATTTTGTTGCACTGAAGTCTTTACGGATGAAGTGGCGTGCTGTCTGGGATTCACTTTTTTTTTTTAAGTAGGCTCCAGGCCTAACGAATGTGGGGCTTGAACTCACGACTCGAGATTAAGAGTCGCATGCTGATCCAGCCAGGCCTCGGCATGAGGGGAAGGTGATGGGGGGAAAGATGCCATAAGACAGCATGTCGTTGCTATTGAATACGGTTGGTGGGATGCACCAGGGTCTGCTACCTATTCCTATGCATGTCTGGAAATTTCCATGATGAAAAGCTAAAAGAAGAAGGGAAAGGAAGGGGACGCCTGGGTGGCTCAGTCGTTAAGCGTCTGCCTTCGGCTCAGTTCATGATCCCAGGGTCCTGGGATCAAGTCCCACATCGGGCTCCCTGCTCAGCGGGAAGCCTGCTTCTCCCCCTCCCCTCCCCCTGCTTGTGTTCCCTCTCTCACCATGTCTCTCTGTCAAATAAATAAAGTCTTTAATAAATAAATAAATAATAAATCTCTCAAGTGAATGGTGGCCGTGGTGGCAACACGGAGGGCAGGCTGGGGGCGGCACACAGGGGCCCGTCGGGAGGCTGCTCCGTTGTCCCAGGCTGCAGAGACAGTGACGCGGCTTGGACCGGGGAGTGCTCCTGGACGGAGAGATGCACATGAAGGGGGGGACATGTTTTGGAAGATGAGTCACCCAGACTTCCACTGTTTCTTTCCACACCGCCCCCCCAAACACACCAGAAGCCAGGACGGCCTCTCCGTCTGGGGCTTGAGAAGTGGGGATGGTAGTGATGTCATTTCCAGCAGATGGGGAGCAGGGCACCCCTATTCTCAGCACTTTGCACATTAATTCATTGTGACAACCCTATGAACAGAAGTATCGTTATCATCATCACCTCCAGCCCACGGAGGGGAAACTGAGGCCAGCATCGTCCAGCGTCACCCAGCAGTGGGGGGCACCCTAAGACCCCAGCTTCCACGCGTCTGCCGCTAGGCTCCGCTGCCTCTTGCTGGGGGGTTGTGGGGAGGTGGGCAGGGAATCCAGTCCGTGGAGGTGCTAAGGCTGAGATGTCTGTTAGGTGGGATACGAGTCTACAGGCCGGGAGGGAGCCATCAAGAGCCATCAGTAGAGACGGTGTCCGAAGCCAGGAGGCCAGAGCAGGCGGTCTGCGGGGAGAGGGGAGGGCAGGAGAGGCTGAGCAGAGGAGAGAGACGGCACGTCTTCTTCCACCAGGAGAGTGAGGCGTCCTGGGTTCTGAGAGAAGGCGCTGTTTCAGGAAGGATCCGGAACCATGTCAGATGCTGCCGAGGGCTGGGTGAGACAGGGACAAGGGGGTGGCTGCTTGCTTGGGCAAGTGGCCTTGGGGAGGCAGCCTCAGGAAATCCATGTGGAGGATGAAGAAGGAAGGCAGGTGAGCAAGAGGGCAGTGACCTCCGGCAACAATCTGGAGAGGTTTTGCTAGGCGTGGGGGCGGGGGTGGGGGTGGGGGGAGGGACAGGGCAGCAGGAGGAGGTGGACAGGGGACCAGGAAGGATATTTTCAAATTTCAGTACAGTTAACGTACAGTGTTACGTTAGTTTCAGGTGTACAATCTAGTGATTTAATAACTCTGTTACTCAGTGCTCATCATGATAAGTGTACTCTTAATCCCCAAGAAGGATTTTTTTTAAGAGAGAGAACGCATGAACGGGGGGTAGGGGAGAGGGGGCAAGGGGGGAGGGGCAGAGGGAGAAAGAGAATTTTTTTATTTAAATTCTATTGATTAACATGTAATATATTACTAGTTTCAGAAGTAGATTTCAGTGATTTATCAGTTGCATACAATACCCAGTGCTCATGACATCATGTGCCCTCCTTAATGCCCATCACCCAAATACCCCATCCCCCAACCCCCTTCCCTTCAGCAACCCTCAGTTTGTTTCCTATGATTAAGAGTCTCTATGGTTTGTCTCCTTCTCTAATTTCATCTTGTTTTATCTTTCCCTCCCTTCCCCTATGTGCCTCTGCTTTGTTTCTTAAATTCCACATATGAGTGAAATCATATGACAATGAATGGTCTTTCTCTGATTGACTTATTTCACTTAGCATAATACCCTCTAGTTCCATCCATGTCATTGCAAATGGCAAGACTTCATTTTTTTTGATGGTTGAGTAATATTCCAGTGTATATATATACACCACATCTTCTTTATCCACTCATCTGTCAAGGGACATCTGGGCTCTTTCCATAGTTTGGCAGTTGTGGACATTGCTGCTGATAACATTAGGGTGCAGGTGCCCCTTTGGATCACTACATTTGTAGCTTTGGGGTAAATCCCTAGTAGAGCAATTGCTGGGTCTTAGGGTAGCTCTATTTTCAACTTTTTGAGGAACCTCCATACTGTTTTCCAGAGTGGCTGCACCAGCTTGCATTCCCACCAACAGTGTAGGAGGGTTCCCCTTTCTCCACATCATCGCCAACATCTGTCGTTTCCTGACTTGTTAATTTTAGCCATTCTGACTGGTGTGAGGTGGTATCTCACTGAGGTTTTGATTTGTATTTCCCTGATGCTGAGTGATGTTGAGCACTTTTTCATGTGTCTGCTGGCCATTTGGATGTCTTCTTTGGAGAAATGTCTGTTCATGTCTTCTTCCCATTTCTTGATTGGATTATTTGTTGAGTTTGATAAGTTCTTTATAGATTTTGGATCCTAGCCCTTTATCTGATATGTCATTTGCAAATATCTTCTCCCATTCTGTCAGTTGTCTTTTGGTTTTGTTGACTGTTTCCTTTGCTGTGCAAAAGTTTTTTTCTTTCTTTAAAAGTTTGTATTTATTGTGGCGCCTGGGTGGCTCAGTCGTTAAGCGTCTGCCTTCGGCTCAGGTCATGATCCCAGGGTCCTGGGATAGAGTCCCGCATCGGGCTCCCCGCTTGGCGGGAGGCCTGCTTCTCCCTCTCCCACTCCCCCTGCTTGTGTTCCCTCTCTCACTGTCGCTCTCTCTGTGTCAAATAAATAAAATCTTAAAAAAAAAAAAAAGATTGTACTTATTTATTTGACAGAGAAAGACACAGCGAGAGAAGGAACACAAGCAGGGGGAGTGGGAGAGGGAGAAGCAGGCTTCCCGCTGAGCAGGGAGCCCGATGCGGGGCTCGATCCCAGGATCCTGGGATCATGACCTGAGCAGAAGGTAGATGCTTAACGACTGAGCCATCCAGGCACCCCTGTGCAAAAGCTTTTTGTCTTGATGAAATCCCAATAGTTCATTTTTGCCTTTGTTTCCCTTGCCTTTGGAGATGTGTCTAGGAAGAAGTTGCTGCAGCCAAGGTCGAAGAGGTTGCTGCCTGTGTTCT